TATAAAAAAAACTATTAGTATGCTACATTATCTTTACTGTAAACTTAAACTTTTATAACTTTTTTATACTTTCTTTTTTTGAAATGCTTTCACATCAGCAATAATCTTCTATGTGTCTTCTTTAAAAAGAGACCAAGCAAATAACTGTGACGTATACTGTGACTACAAATAAACAGAAACAGACGCGACTGAATAAGTATGTGTCCTCTTTCGTTTGTGAAATAATGGTAAATTACACTTTATTTCAATGTGACATTTTCAATCCTGACAAATTAATTCATTATGATCAATGCATCACTTATTAAAACATCGATGCTTTTGGATTTAAATCTTTAAGTAAACAACAAAAAATGCAAACAAACGGCCTCTCTTATCATGTTCGTTTTGTGATCGCGCTAGTTCCATTGATTTATTTCTGATTAGTTTTCTGATAACTTCTCTTTGTTGGTGAAATGCTGGGGTAGTGTGATGTTGTTCCTGAGAGGCGTGTAAAGGGCTGGTTTTAGTGAAGTGCAGCGGAGCTTCTGGCCTGACGGTGGAAACAGCATGATTTTGGGTCTGAGGCTATTAGTCCCACCTGGCCTGGAAAGCACTGGCTCGAACTGGCCGGACAGTGGAAAAGTGGCTATTTTTTGGGTGAAATATCCCTTTAATTAAAGGGTTAGTTCACCCAAAAATGAAAATTGGCTTGTGTTTTACTCACCCTCGAAGCATCCTAGGTGTATATGACTTTCTTCTTTCAGACGAATCCAGTCTGAGTTATATTAAAAATTGTCCTGGCTATTCCAAGCGTTATCATTGCAGTCAGCGGGTGTTGCAGTTGAACAGTCCACAAGTCGTCAAATAAAGCACGCATTCATAATAAACCGTGCCTCACACGGCTCCGGGGGGTGAATAAAGGCCTCCTGTAGTGAATCCATGTGTTTTTGTAAGAAAAATATCCATATTTCAAATGTAATAACTTTTCTATCACTTCCATCATCTGTCATACGCGGAAGGCGTTCAGGCGGATGGCGCAGCACGTCGGCGTTGCGTGATTAGTGACGAACGCAGAGAGACAACAAAACAAAATGCCGGTCACTAATTAGAAGTACAAACTTAAGATTTGCAAAGAAAAATGTTGGAGGATTTCGATATAAGCCAAGAGGAGACCGGTTTTCCTTTGCTAAAGTAAGGAAACTTTGCTTCCTTTGCTCCTTTAAACAAACTCGCGAGACTAGCATATCTCAGAGGCGCGCCTAATACGTCATACGCCTTCCACCGGAATGACTTCAGCATATGACAGAAACCGGAAGTGAGAGAAAAGTTTTTATTACGTTTGAAATATGGATATTTTTCTTACAAAAACGCATGGATTCACTACAGGAGGCCTTTATTCACCCCCCGGAGCCGTGTGAGGCACGGTTTATTATGAATGCGTGCTTTATTTGACGACTTGTGGACTGTTCAACTGCAACACCCGCTGACTGCAATGATAATGCTTGGAATAGCCAGGACAATTTTTAATATAACTCCGACTGGATTCGTCTGAAAGAAGAAAGTCATATACACCTAGGATGCTTCGAGGGTGAGTAAAACACAGGCTAATTTTCATTTTTGGGTGAACTAACCCTTGAAGATCTGAAAAAGTCACGGAAATATCTTTTATTTTTACATTTTTATTTCCAGTTATATTGAAGGACTGGAAATTTGCAACCTTTACGGTGGACATACATGACACACCGAATGGTAACATTTCTGTCATATGTCCCATTCCTGTCAAAATAAGCTGCAAAATGTACCATATGCATAGGAAAACTACACAATTTCAGTTGATATGAAAATCACAGTGCTGCATCTCATGCTATTGTACGTTCCTAGTGTGTGCTAAAAATGTAAGGCTGTTTTTATTTGCTCACCAGCAGCGATTCAGATGGCATCTTCTTGTATTTGTTCTGCTCTCTTTTTAGCCCCTCATAGGTCATGAACTGCAGTGCAGCATGGGAAGTCCCCACCAGTCCAGGCACGAAACCCTGCAGCGGCAGAACAACAAAATGAGGCTCACAAAACCACAATCACACAGTTACCTCAGACTAAAAGCAACGTCATCGTGTTCAACTAGACTAGACTAGAATTAAACTAGAAGGAAGTCTACTTCAATACGTAATCGTTTTAGCACAATCTGGCGTGGCTCACAAAGAATTTAGCCTATACTGTATTTAGGCCTAACTGGAAGCACAGGTTAAGAGCTGGATCAATCCTCTAAACATAACAAAATCACACCCTCTTGTGGCCCTACAGAAAACTACAATGTTACAGAGCAAAAAGCTGGATCAGCCCACTATTTAAAGTCAACATGAAATGCAATTCATTTTACATCCATAATGTGACACATATCAGAGTATGATATGATATTCAATGAGAACAGGTTATTAAGTTATTACTAGTAAATTATTACACTAATTTAGAATACAAAAGACAAACTTGCACAGATGACCCTTGTGAAAAAAAGAAAGCGCAATTAATTGTATTGAATGTGCACTTGTATTGTACTTCGAATCTTAAAAGTATATTTTTAAAAACTGTACTTGATGATAATATAATACTAATGAAATAAAAGGCCACTTAAGTGTACTTAAAGAGAACTTTCAGGACTATATTTCTAAACACACAAGTACATTTTTTTTAAATGGACTATGAAATGATGTCAAATTACTTTAAAGTACATTTTAAATCATATTTTAATAATCTTTTGTCATGTTTTAAAAAGTACACATATTTTGATGTTTTGACCAACATACTAAAGCACATATAAAGCACTTGATTATAATTTTAACTGTAGAGGGTTATTTGATATTACATTTAAAGTTAATATATTTTAGTATTAAATTCCAATGCCATCATTATTTATGTGTAGTTATAAATATATTTAAATACACAACATGTAAGTTTCACTAGAAATGAAGTATATTTTAGTTTACCATAAATGCTTGTCAGTACATTTTACAGCAGTACACTTTAACCATATTTCAGAGACAACAGAAGTATGAATAATGAAATTATATATAAAGATTAGTGCTGTCAAACCATTAATCACGATTAATCACATCCAAAATACAAGTTTTTGTTTACATAATATATGTGTGTGTACTGCGTATATTTATTGTGTGTATATATAAATACACACACATGCATGTATATATTCAAGAAAAATATGTTATATTTGTATATTAAATTTATTTATATATAATATAAATATACTGTATACATGTAAATATGTTCAAAATATATACTGTATGAGTGTGTATTTATATATACATAATAAATATACACAGTACACACACATATATTATGTAAACAAAAACTTTTATTTGGGATGCGATTAATCGTGATTAATCGTTTGACAGCACTAATAAAGATGTACTTACGTCCTGATTTACTGGGTTAAAAAAAACAACTAATTGCATTTAATACAAATTTAACCAATTACATCTTCATTTAATTGTAAATACCGTGCATTTAAGAAAACAATAAATGAAATTTGCACTTAAGTATATTTTTTTATGATACTATTTTCAAATTAAGTACTCTTTTTTTTAAGTATGCTGAAGTGCTTCTTTCTCACAAAGGGGAATTGTGTACCAAACGTGTGTTTCAGGAAGTAATTGGGACAAATGTTTAATTTCATGTTGACTTTAATCTTGAGATTAGCACACATGAAAGCTCTATTACATCTGCAACAGATCTCGGGTTAGTTTAAAATCTGTAGATGTACCCTGTAGAGTCCCGGGATACCCTCGTGACGGTATATTTTCACGAGGGCGTCCATCATTCCCTTGTACTGCTTCCGTGAAGGGTCTGCATTGTACTGCAGCACCAGCCGGGTCTTTGTCACCCAGACCGGGTTGGTGAGGCAAAGCGTCAGCATGCCTGGAAACATGGAACAGGGGACCTTCACACCAACATTTAACTAGTCTCTCCACCTTAGTGCTCTGTCTGAGATCTGAGACAAGTTTTTTACATGTAAAAGAGACCAATAGGAATAATAATTCATTGCTGTATTATCATTATGCGTCTAAAAATGCAGGCTGGGGTTGAGTATGTTTTTGGTCATACTGGTAAAGCTGAAGTGTGTTCATTTTCCATTAGTTAGTGATAGCATTGTATTGCACTGATATTGTTGGACTATTTTCTTCCTCAATATTCTTTTAGTGATGAATTGAAAAAAGCTGCGTGTTTCACTTCCTAAGCTGATACCACACTCTTGTTTCTTCTCTATTTTTTTGTCAGTTTCAAATCGGCCACATAGAAAACCGTTTTGAAGCTGGTCATTCTTGTTATGCAATGCACTTTCATATCCTCATCATATATATACAGTATATTAACACACAGGATGGAAATAGGATAGAAATTAAATTAGTTTCTTTTTTAAAATATCACAAACATAGGTAAATTTCAACCTTTGTGTAGAACCTAAATCTGGTAATTGTGAGGTAGTCTAAAATAAGAAATAAAGTCACATTGCTATGAGACATACAGTCGTAATTACAAGATATAAAGTTGCAATTACCTGTAATAAAGTTGCCATTTTGAGAAATGTAAAGTTGCAGTTTCTGTTTTAAATTTTTTTCCCATACAATTAAGTAAACAGAGAACTGGCAATTGACCCTTCACTAAGACCCGTCCTCCTAAATTACTTCTACTCCGACACACTTTACAGAAAAATGTCTCATAATGCTTTGAAGATTTCTCTGAAACAGCATTATTTTCAGTAAAACGTGCTAATTAGGTGGTAAAAACTGATTGCATATTATTCCTGCATTCTTGACTGGAATGAACTGTGATATTGCAAATAATTTTTCCCTGCCATTTTTCTTTAAAGAAATGAACGCAGTAACGTGATTAAAATCTGCAGAGACAGAATCAAGGCCAATGCTTCACGCAGTCAACGGCAAACAGAGAATCTCATTTAAACGCTGATAACATTAGTGTAAGTGAACTGAACGTACAACACATTTACTGTGCGACTGTGAACTCTTTAGTTACTACTGCATCTACTGTTACCTCAAGCAACACGTAAACGAATTAGAGGTAAGTTACTGTAAATTTGTGACCTGGCAACAATGTTTCATCATATTTTGAGCTCATTTCTGTAAAATCTGGTTTAAAACTAGGCCTGGGCGATAAAACGGTATCGGTATTTATCGACGGTACACCTTCATCGATAACGATAGAAAAAATGTTCGATATAGCGCACGATATAGGCACGTGCTATGAGTGACGCTTGTATGTGATGAGGAGATTGTGAATAAAGAATGAATATTAGTCGAATTTAAAATAAAAAAATTGCATTTGAATGCAAAAACGGTGCAATCGAATGTTAGGAGTGTGTCAGGGAGCGTCATCAGTGGCGTGCGAGATGCGGTGATGATAATGTAAGTGACGTTGTTGCATTTTAACGTTTTGTTAGTCTAGCCCACGAGACGCGCCGCTGCTGTGTTATTCATTCAAAATATTAGAAATATAGAAGCTCAATGCGTAGAACATCTTGATTAGGTTAAAACCCAAACCAAGCCATTCATACAGAACGCATATTCAGCGCATTTTTTAGACAGACAAATATGACTGCTGCACTCGCGTCATGCAAAGTTAAAACAGTTTAAACGTTTATAAAACACGTTGCGAATTTGTGGAGGTTTATTCTCTTTTGTTTTTAAATGCAATCTGTGTGAATGGCGCTTCGGCTCTTTGTATTAAGCAATGCATAAATACATTATGCTGTTTTGTTCATAATTGTTTATGCAATTTACGAAATTATATTTGATTTTTTTATATGTTAATTTAGACGTTATGCAAGTTTTTTATAGACAGTTGTTATTTCATTGCACTGAATAAACAATTCAAAATGTGCAGAGCGGGGGTACGCGAGGACTGGAATTGAGAACCGCTGTTCTAGACATGCCAAAAATATGAAGCTACAGCACAACAGCTCTTCTTCTTGGTTTTCTCTGACGCACTAACTCTGCAGCAGCACTTCTTCGTGTCTCGTCTGATGCTCTCACTCAACCAAGCGTTCTAACCACAACCTCGCCCCTCCCCACCCCCCAACCACTCGAATTTCTGTAGGCGGGAATTATTTGTAATGATATTCCAATGAGCCGCTTTGTGACCCCACCCCCCCAACCATTCAAATTTCTGTAGGCGGGAATTATTTGTAATGAAATTCTAATGGGCTGCTTTGTGATATCACAAAGCCCGGAAACCAAACGCTGTAGTCCAAACGAGCCGTTCGTTGCAGTTCTTGAAAAGGGATTTAAAAAAAACTAAATATCTCCCTTTGGAGTGGACTTTGAGATTTGTAACTTTCTAGATCTTTTTAATGCCCAAACATACACACTACACACTGACTAAAATGAAAAAAAGTGAAAAAGCATAATAGGACCCCTTTAAGACTTATTTAATCTGCATATAAAACATAAGAAAGATATTTGTTTAAATTTTATTTTGTGTTTGACTGTTAAAACAAAACAAAAAAAATATTTGTTGTCTTAATAAATCGAGTAAATTAAAAATACAGTGGTTAAATTTATAAAAAAATTCTATTGCTCTGTTTTAAAAAGGGTTATAAAAAATGTCAATTATCGATACTGAACGATATGAAACATTATATCGTTGATACGTTTTTTTAGCTATATCGCCCAGCCCTATTTAAAACTATGCAAAAATTTCCTAATTTTCCTTAAACTTACACTACCTTTTAAAAGTGATATTTTGTTTTTGAAAGACGTCTCTTCTTCTCAACAAGGTGGCATGTATTTGATCAAAAGGACAGTAAAAACACTAATAATTTGAAATATTATTCCAGTTTAAATAAACTGAATACATTTTAAACAGTAATTTATTCCTGTGATTGAAAGCTGAATTTTCAGCATCATTACTGCAGTCTTCAGTGTCACATGATCCTTCAGAAATCATTCTAATATGAGCAGTTCTCATTATTATCCATGTTGAAAACAGTTGTGCTGCTTCATATTTTTGTAGAAACTGTGATACATTTGTTTCTTTAAGGGATAGAAGAACAGCATTTATACGCAATAGAAATATCTTGTAACAATATAAGTATTTTACTGTCACTTTTGTTCAATTTAGCATGTCCTTGCTTAATAAAAGTGTTTATTATTTAATTTCTTTTAAAAAGAAAACTGTCTTGGTGGTGCTTCGTAAGGGTCACTTTATTAAGAAATCCGATCTCTAATCTAAATGTTTTAAATAAAACATGCCATTTTAGTTTTGTCGTCAATCTACGTATCCTCAATTTCACTTTCCATTCTGTTTAAATATCCTTTAAAATGACTACCTAATGACATCCTCCAGGAAATCATTTTTGGAGGGAAAAACAACAGCTTAAATGTCAATAAAACATTAGTGGATTTAATGATGTCTGTGAAGTTTTATGGTATTATTTGGTTTGTGTCACTCTAAAATATTCGATCGTCTTAAAAATAAACATGAAAATTGTATTACATTACCAACAACATTTCCATCCTGTTTGTTTGCTTATCATTGTGCAAACAATCAAGTTCAAGCCTCTGAGTTTGACCTGTTATCTTCAGTCTGGTCTATTTTAGTCAATTAAAACAAGCATAAACAAGTGGTTAACATCTGATAGTCACAGAGTGTGCGGCGTAGCCTAAAGTTCGGGCATAACAGGAATGATCCGGCGGAGGAACACAGCGTCTCCAAGGCCTCTGACATTCCAGCTGTTCCCGTCTCATAGCTGAGCTACAGATTTAGCTGTGTTTAGCTTGTCAGGCTCACAGGTGGCTCTTTCTCAAACTGACCTGCCTCCGCTGCAGACACCAGGTGTTCGCCAGCACTCAGCTCTGTTTGCCGTCCCTCCTGCGTGTACGCTTTAATAGCATTATAACTGCGGGAAGATGAGAAAGGACCACGTTATGGTCCCCAGAGTCATTTAGCACATGCATGTCTATTGTACAGTGCTGTAAACTGACCATCCTTTAAGTAACTGTTATTGAATCACCATGTGGATTTCAGGGAGGGTAGACTTAGAAAACATACATTACGTCATCATTTACTCACTTTCATGTCATTACAACCTGTAGGACTTGAGCAAATCAACAGTGCTGCTGGATATAAGACTGCTGAGCTACATCTCTCCAGATTTATTGTTATGGTCAGATCTTCACACTTAATCTTTTTTTTCCACAGCATGACTGATTCTATAAACAAAATATTAGGAGAAATGTTCTTCTTGACATTACAGCCTGCTTAGGACAAAGACCAAATCAACAAGGATCTACTACTTATATTTCAGTGTTGGCACCCGTGTAAAGTTGCACATACACAGTTTGTTTGCCAGTGATCCTGATCTGAAATCAGGTCAGATGAATTCCTGGAGTGTCTTCATAACTCATACAGTATCAACTGACACAGCACTGTTGGCAGCTTCTTTTTATGGCCTGTGAACTTTAAAGGATCCATGCCTTTTCAAGAAAGATCACTTCTATATTATTATTATTTTGTTATTATATCTTAATTGATTAATATGTTTATTTGTATTATTTATTTTTGTAAAAATAGTCAATATCAATGCCATTTACACTACTATTCAAACGTTTAAGGATAAATGTTTTCTGCTCACCAAGGCTGCATTTATTTGACTAAAAATACAGTAATATTATGAAATATTATTACAGCTTAAAAATTCAAGGACTCGTGTATGTCAAAAATGTTCCCATCTGGCATTTTTTTAATGCTTTAAAATGTTTTAGTAAAAATATACAGTATATATACACTGCTGGTCAAAAGTTTAGAATAATTAAGATTTTTTTTTTTTATGCTTTTGAAAGAAGTCTCTTATGCTCACCAAGTCTGCATTTATTAAAAATACAGTAATAACGTGAAATATTATTACAATTGAAAATTTGTTTTCAATTAACGTGTTTTATATTACTAATTAATTTCTATTATTTTGATATTTTAATTTATATTAAAATATATTACTAATATATTGTAAAATGTAATTTATTTCTGTGGTCAAAGCTGAATTTTCAGCATCATTACTCCAGTCTTCAGTGTCACATGATCTTCAGAAATCATTCTAATATGCTGATTTGCTGCTCAAGAAACATTTCTGATTAATAATTAAGGTTGAAAACAGTTGTGCTGCTTCATATTTTTGTAAAAACCATGACACTTTTTTTTTTTTTTTCAGAATTCTTTGATGAATAAAAAGTTTAAAAGAACAGCATTAATTTCAAATACAAATCTTTTGGAAAATTACACACATTTTTTTTTTTAATAAATTTAATGCAACCTTGCTAAAGTAGAGCAAGGTTTATTTAGCAAGTAAATAAAAAAAATTGTATTGACCCAAACTTTTGATCAGTACTGTATAGTCAGTGTTGGGGAGTAACTAGTTACATGTAATGAGTTATGTAATTTAATTACAAAATAAATGTAACTGTAATCCGTTACAGTTACTGAGAATTTTTTTTTTATTAAATTACATTTACATTTAGTCATTTAGCAGATGCTTTTATCTGTAACCTACTAAGTAACCTTCCCAACACTGAATATAGTGAAGTTGTGTTTAGAAATACATTCAAACAGGAAATTCCATTCCGTGCTTCCCTTTTCAACACAACTCTGACTACTTACAAGAGGAAGTACAGGCCCCACGATGCCCCGGCCCCCCAGATGTTGGGGGTCACACCTTGATAGAGACCTCTAATCCCTTCCAGCTTCCAGATGGTCTTCATGCAGTGCACCATGCTATCGTACTGGGGTCGCATTTTCAGACCATCACTTACTGGAACGAGTAAGAAACAGTGGGGGAAACAACACACTCCCACTTCTGCTTCAAAATAATCTAAAAATCTCTTTGAAAAAGACCAGTGCAAAGGTAAGACTAGCAGGCAAACTGTATCGTGCCCTCTGTGCGTGTTTTTCTAGTTTTCTGGGCTGCGTCTCAAAACCTTAGTGCTGTCAAACGATTAATCGCATCCGAAATAAACGTTTTGTGTGTGTGCTGTGTATATTTATTATGTATATATGAATACACATACATGCATGTATATTTTTAAGAAAAATATGTTAGGTTTACACAAATATATATATATATATATATATACATATATTATGCAAACAAAAACTTTTATTTCGGATGCGATTAATCGCGATTAATCGTTTGACAGCACTACAAAACCTAGAGAGCATGACACAGTTGTTCAGATTGTGAAACTGAATACACATAGCGTTATGTCTCTGCTGTTTGTATAGCAATTTCAAGAATTTAATCATTTCATTTATTTACCAGAAATAATGGAAAACTATGAGTAATTTATTTTTTATTTATATTTATTCATATTATTGTTTTTTTTTTTACAAATTTTTTTTTTAAAAGCCTGTCTAAACCGT